ACTTAACACACACGGTCATTCAATGAGCATACTACTACATACGAAATAATTACGCAAATGCCATAAAAAATATGCAGAAACTTCTTCTTTTCACCACAAAGTTCGCTTCACGCCTCTAAATGACCATTTTGGGTCAGACATACCGCCCTACGACACATTGTTGGGCATATTTATGATGACTGGAGAGGCAAACCGCAGACTATTACTTGTGTGTGCAGCGCCAATAGCATTGCATACACATTCCTAATATATCTAGTATATATATATCTATATTTACGATTATATGTATGTAATTGGTAGTGACCCTGCAGGGAAAAAAAATTACAATTTTATAAAATGTCATTGGGGCATTTTTGTCCCAATTAGTTAATTTTTCATCAATTCTCTATGTAAGCAACTGGTATATACTACACGGAGATGACCTACGCACTGTTAATTTTCTGTCTATGCTACTACTTTGCCTAATTAAATGAATAATTGTATAATTTCCACTTCTCTAAGAATAAAAAAAAAAATAAAAATAAAAATGAATTTGCTTGCCACGAGGCTTGAACCGTGAGATTTATGCTTTACAGTGCACCTTAACAGAGCATAACAGAGCGTTAAACTCCCATATGGTATGCTAGATATTAGAACAACAGACCGTGGTGTAATTTGTTATTATTCAAGTTACTGGTGAATTTCTATGCAACATTAACGTTATTAACATGTTTAGAGAGAAAAGAACAGCTTTGATGTTATAATTAAGAAGTTGTTATTATCTTTTATTAAAAGTTATTAAAATTAATTTCAAACATTGTAAAATAACTTATGGTTATATGTTTGAACAAATCAATAAATAAATAGCATGATATTTAAAAAAAATAATAAAAGATGTCCAACTGGTATTATTTTATCTGCAATATACTAGTATTTAGCTAGAATTTTTACATATAGTATATATACACCCTGCTGGTAAATAGCTAGTCAAGACTTTTTTAAATGGTTTTTAACAGCGAACAATATTTTTGGATGAGTTTGTGCTTGATAAAGTTAAATACTTTACTTCTCAACTAAATATTTTTCCTGTTGGTATCATCTAATAACACATGAGTTACTACCAACATACACTTGTCTTAATTTATGCGTGAGAAAATGGCTCTCTTTATCAGCAAGCATCTACTACCGACAATGAGACTCATAATTTGGTAGACGAAAAGTTGTTCCTTATTGTTGGCACATTTAATTTAATTTATGTGCTATTCACTTATGCGTTTAAGTATGTGTATGAATATTTGTGTATAATATACGTATGTATGTATACTATGTGTGAATACAGCCGGAAAGTCGCGTCTCGAAACCTGTAGATTTGAGCCTATTTCTTTCTTGCTTTTGTTCAAACGGTGTTGCAAATTTCTCGTCTTTTCCATGCAAAATTAATTCAAAGCGTTTTTATGTAGTTTATATGTTAATGACTCTAGAAAATGTTCAAATATTATAAAAGAAATTTTTAATATGACAAACTGAGCTTAGCAAAAAAAAACTTCTTGCAACATATAAATTGCTTTTGATGATGTAGCGGCTAGATAACCTTGACCCGAGAAACGAGCTGATGAGTGAGTTTAAGTAACCATGCAAAGAGGACGTATTCCGAGGACTGATTGAACGGCGGGTATGCCTTAAGTATATCTCGGTCAGTTTTGAATCAGTAGAAGTTGAATCGGCGAACCTAAAGTTGTATTATATTTTTGCGTAGTTGAGTTCCAGATGTTTCTTATTATGGTGTTAAATGCGGTGTTCTGACAGGCTTGCCGATTTTTCATTTACATTTCTTTAATACCCAATCACCAAAATGGTACAGCAAAGTTGTTATTATTATGTTTCTAATCTACACTGTGAATGTGATCACTGCAGCGTGTGGAGCGAAGGATAGCAGACTGTCAGATGTGATTCCCAGTGACTTGATGTAATCGGCATTAAGTCGAGCTGGTGTGTTTTAATGGTATTACATCGCATAATGGCGTAATGACCTAAAATCCCTAGGATCTACTGTCTTCGATTAAGGCTGCAATTATAACATTGATAATATTCGTATTGAATAAATATATTTGGACCCTCTTGACCAAGTGTATCCAACGAAATAAATGCATTTCTCTTCCTTTCAATAGTTCAACGGGTAGTTTGTCAAAGACAATCATATCTGGAATATTTTCAAACAATTGGGCAACACGATTTGAGTTGATGGTTTCTTATTCGAAGGACTTTGTCAAAGACTCCGTAGATCTTATCGTCGTTTTAGGTAGTCGCTTTCGATTATAGGCAAAGGACCAGCATCGATTAGGGGCCTGTGGTCATGAGACGTGCTGTAAATCGTCGCACCCTTTCATAAAATTTTACTTCTGTCGGCCAGCTTTCAAGCTCTACATACTTTCGTATTTCGGTCTATTTCTTTTTTGCCTCCGAATTAAACTCGCTTTACATTCAACTATGGCAGTCTGATAACAACTGTCAGTCGAACAGCATTTTTAACTACACAGAGGAGAATGGGGGTATCTTTGCTGAAAGACTGTATTTTGAGACCTCAGAGCGTGCGCTAAAAACTTTAATCTATGAAAATATATGGGGACAGCGCTCATAAGTAACTCCCAGGTCTGCATAAAAGGCAGCTTTGCCCACATCAACTTTTCTTTCTTCACTAAATTTGTGCTGCTTTATTTTATCTTTCTGCTGTGGTACAGATTGCAGAGACTCACACTTTTACATTCTTACGCCGATCAAGGCGTACCTACTGAAATTCAATAAAGTCAGTGAAGACTTAAACGGTATTATAAATCGGTAGTTAGACCAATCCTATTCTACGGCGTCACCGTTTGGTGGCCGGCACACGATAAAATTACTTTCAGGAGCAAACTAGGGAAAGTTAAAGGATCGGCTGCTATCTTGGTAACAGGGGCACTTCCATCAACTCCTTCGAAAGCCCTGTTAACTCTTCTCAACATCCTGCTTCTGGACCTTTAACAAAATCTACAAGCGGACTGCAATGCAATAAGATTGAATACAACTCAACCTTGGAAGAATTGCAGTAAAGGACATACAAAAATATTATCTCTTACAGTAGTGCCAATGAAGCTGGAGTACACCACCTACAGTGTATACTACGATAATCTTTTCTCCACCAGAATCCCAAACAGATGCGAGTGGGAAAACACCAACACCGACCAAGCAGTAATAACCATCTTCACAGACGACTCGAAGGTTGTTGGGAGGGTGGGTTGCGGAATTTATTCTCTTGTGCATTCAGTAAGCATGAACATGAGAATACCGGATCATTGAGCGTTTTCCAGGTGGAACTCCTCGCAACCGTTGAGACCGCTGATTGGTTGTACAAATCTACGGCAGCAGGACAGTCAGTAATAATCTATTCCAACAGTCACTTTGCGATCAGATCTCTTCAATGTAAAGGTACCACATCAAAGGTGGACTTAAACAGCGGTACAGTACAGTACTGACGTGGTTTGCGTACCTGTACACAAGGACATTCCAGGCAATTGCATGGCAGACGGTCTCGCAAGTGAAGGAACCCTTCAATCTACAAAAAAACACGCACATGATGCTGGTTTACCTCTGTTCATGGCTAAGTCCGTGCTTAAACTGGCCTTCACCAGGGAACCTGACTCACGATGGCTGAACAAGATCACATGTAACGTGCCCAGATAGCTATGGCTGAAGCTGGACGCGAAAAAATCCACATATCTTATCCTTCTGGACCGGTTCTCCACTAGCATTAGAACGGGCATAATAACTGGACACTGTTTAATGGAGCTTCACGAGAAAAGAATGGGATATCATTCTGATGATGTTTGTTGCAGCTTCAGGGATGAAAAAGAGAAGGGGATCATCGAGCACTACCTCTGCTACTGTCCAACCTTGACATCCGCGCGACATAAGTTTCTTGGGAAACATTTCTTCGATTGTCTCGCTGAGATTGCCTCAGGGAATATTGGAAGCATTCACCTCAGCGGTGTCACAATGGGCCTATTAGCCTAAGTGTGCTAGCAGCAGCAGCCGCATCAAATCAACTTAACTCTTAAACCATATCTGGTGGGGTGGATCCGCTAAAGATCTCACTCGTAAGGGATGAAGATGCAAGAGTAAGAATTGGTTATAGTTTTGCAAATGTAACTGCACACAGAAGCAAGAAGACTGCACCCAGTTACTGCCCAATACTATATTATCTAACTTCTTAAGCACGCAATAGGCCTACCGTAATTTAAGGCACATTCAGACTGCGAACACTCAATTTAAATAGTTTATTTTTCCTATTTTCGTTGAGCTTTTGTGAGCTGTTATTAAATTCTATTGATTTTTTTTCAAGTGTTGAATGTCATTACCAATGGTATTGCGTAGTTAGGTTCGCAGAAAATAAGCTGCCGTACATACATATTTACATATGCACCAAATCAAACAACTATAAGAAAAGAAGAATAAGCATAATGTCTCAAATTCTCCAAACCTACCACAAACTAAAGGCCTTTCGGTGCATGTGTCACCCGCATAGTACATGCATACATACGCACATAAAAGTGGTGGCAAATTTGCTTATGCATATTCATGTATGTATGTATGTATGTATGGATGTATGTATGTATCTTTATAAATTTGTATGCGTCAAAGGCAATTTCGGTCAAACTGACCCAACTGCAGCGCCACCAATTGTGGTAGTCATAAGCTTAACTAGCCCCAGCTGGGAAGCCCCAGCAATTCTGCTAGTAAGTGCAGTCTAGCGTACATACATATGTGTGTGGATGTGTGTGTGTGTGCATATGTCAACACACTGGGTGCGTCTAAATGTATTACATTCTAAATAATGCGAGAAATTTGTATTTACCTGGCAACCCACACATGCACTTGCACATGCATATACACACACATCCAAGCACGCTTCTACTAATTCAATAAGCTTTGACGCTGGTCAACCGCTTTTGCCTGCTATAAAGGTCCCAACGCAAATGATGGTTAATTTAAAATCGCGGCAGACGTGCAACGCACCACTCGAGAATCGTTCCAAGTATACGCTATACCTAAAGTGTGTTTCCAGCAAGACATTTTTTTTATTATTTCACCAATAAATCAGAGCTTTTACGCATACAAATCTCGGTGCTTCGTACTTCGCGCGTCGTAGTTCGGCTTAATAACGCAAATTTAGTTTTTCTTAATTCCATATATTTTTCTCCCGTGTGCCTTAAAGCAGTGAAAAGCGGCCGCCAAGATGGTTGTCAACTTTAAGGTCTTTAAAAAGGTCTCACCCAACAACATGATCACCTTGTATATGAACAAGCGTGAATTCGTGGACTCGATAACGGTTGTGGAGCCAGTTGGTGAGTGCGTGCGGATGTATGTGGGTGTGCCTGTGTTTGGCAGCATTAATAAATTTTCATTTTTTTGAAAACTCCCACCGCCACCAAGTCATTAATCATTTAGGCTTTCCATTTGACTATGAATTTGAATTATTTTGATGGATAGTATAAGATTACAGCAATAGGAATTTGTGGCGAATAAATTTTAAGGAATTCATATGCTTCTTCTGTAAATGTAGGCAGTTTGAAAATGAAATGAAGAATTTACTAAGAAAAAGATTTAATGACTTGATAATTTCAAAAAAATAATAATAATAAAAAATTAAAATAAATAAATAATGCTATTTAAATATAAAACTGCAACCAGACAGACGTCATTTTGGTAAGAATGATGACGCAACTTAAATATTGTTGAGTAGTGCTTCCCTTTGCAGACAACACGGAACAAAGATGCAAATAACCTACAAATAATATGTTCAGGTATAAAGTTTAGGTTATTAAATTTCATTTAGAATAAAATTTAAGGGGTACACCTAGTATAGAGGCCTTAACAAATGTGATTTTTGGGAATTTTTATTAAAAAAAAATATATTATCAATTATTTCAAAATTTTAAGAATATATTTTTACATGTTTCAAGAATATACAGTGAAATTTTTGAAGAAAACAATTGAATATTTCTTGAGTTATAGGCGATCTCCAACGACGCAGTGATTCCAGCCTTCTCCGTGGATAAAATCTAAAAAAAAAACTCTCTACTAGATTGTCTGTACAATGACCTACGATAAAAAAAATCAAAAATTGACAATATGGCGGAGTTTAAAAAAAAATAGTCGAAATTTACCAAAAATTTTGGTCGTTTTTAGCCTGCCAAAATTCGATTTTTTGATCTGTTCAAAAATCGATAGGTCATTATACGGAGAACCATATATAAAACATGTAAAAAGAATTCGATAGTGATCGGATCCTTTGTTTCTGAGTAATCACTACAGCAAATTCGGAAAATGCTGTTCCGAGAAAAACACGTTTGAAGATGAAATGATTGTTTTCACTCGTAGCCAATGAGACTCTCTAGCTGCCGAGAGCTGTGTCTCTGTCTCTTTACATTGCTATAACTAACTATAATAAAAACTCAAAAACCATATTTGAGTTATCGATTTGAAATTTTAAAATGTTATGTTATGAAATTCCACACTAGTTGTGCCTCTTAAAGGCTCGGGTTCAAAGTCTGGTGTCGTACAAATATCCAAAAAACGTATAGAAAATTAATTTATATAAAAACATAAGTTAAATTTTCTAATTGCGGTCGCCCCTCTGAGTGTATTTCGGACATGAAAAAAGGCTCCTCGTATAAAAACCATGAGCCGTTGGGAGGAGGCTGAGTATAAACTGTCCATTTATTGGAAACACATCAAGACGCAATGCTACAAATAATAGGAGAAACTCGGTCGAAAATCGCTTCAGCGGTTACCAAGCGCCAATTATACTCGCATATATATAAAAAACTTGAAATGACCACAAAAGTTGCCGCACACTTGCAACGGTGCAAGCTTCCTGTCGGTCATCACCAAACACTTAAACTTTGCACTTGTGTTATATTAAAAAAGAACTAAAACTTATTTAGTATATTTTCGCTTCTACAAAAGATCCGGTAGGACTGCTTCAAATGTCCGGCAGAAATATGTTATGATTTGGACGTTGAGTTTTTCTTGGTGTATTTTAGTAAATTCTCTGAAGATCTTGACTCTCATGTCCTAAATGTATATAAACATTTGCAATGCGAATAAAGGAAATAAAAACCGTTACACAGTCGGCGGTTTCGAAAACTAACGAAAATAAAATGTATTTAAAATATTTTTTTTTTTTTTTTTCAGAAAATTCGTGTTTTGTTATAAACCTTGAAACTACATCATTCAAATGATCGTCTCGCGAATTTTTCCGAACTTCGATCCATTTGAGGATATTTTCGACCACTTTTGGGACGTGTTAAGGGGTACTTCAGCCTTAACTTGCCGAATGTTGATTTTTAGTCATACAAAGGAAAAAGTCTAACGGTGTTTAATCACATAATCAAGGTAGCCAGTTGACATCGTCAAGACGATTAAGTGCACCATAACCCCCTATTAAAACTCGAAACGTGACCACTTTGGAACCACCGCGCTGTGCCTGTCTTTTAATTAAAACAAAACATAGTTGTTTTGACAGCTAAGTTTGAAAGATGTGAAAATACAGCACTGAATTTTTTAAATTACGAAAATGATAACCCTATGCTTTTAAAATCATTGTCAACCTTACGCTTGAAAGTTCTTTACACGATTTCTTTGCTGTATTTAAAGACAGCCCATCTCTTTCTTTGAGGCTGCGCTATGAATTTGAAGATTTTTTCCACAGTCATAAGCCGTCTGATAACGGTTTCACAGAAAATAATCTTCTACATTTTTACCTCTTAGAGGCCTAGACATTTGTTTTTGTTATTATAAATATATTTAAAGTAATTTCCGCCTCTCGAAAATATTTTGAAAATAACCTTAAGACGAGGTACCAAAACTTGTTGTAATATATTTGTTTCTTTTATTCAAGTTCTTGTAGGTTTCCTTACCTAAGGTGCACAACTGGCTCAAGACTTTTTTGAATTAATCTAAAACAATAATAGTATTTTATGAATTTTTTACGTATCTATTAAACGTTAAATATTTGTGCAATAAAACAACGCGCCGAAATCGGCTAAGTAAGAACTGAACTGTTTCACACTGTTGAGGTCATGGACCTCCTAATGTTTTCGTCCGCCTCAGGTGGCAACGCCGCTATATGCAATGTTGCAAACTATCTACACCCGCAACACTTTTTTTGTGTGACTACCCGCCTAACGTAGCCATCAGCGACAATCGATTAATCGCTTTTCAGCACCCAACACATCGACATCGCGACTCACGTAACGCTCTTCGGCATTTTAAATTTTTAAACTTTATATTTATAACCTTTCACTTTGAATATTGATTAAGAATTCGTGTCTTAATGCCGGCACAACAAATTTTTACTTTAAATAATATTCATTTTTTTCAAATCATATTTACTGTAAGCTAATCAATTGAAATAAAGCTGGAATTTATACCATTTATAAAAAGACCTTAATTTATTCAGTTCATTGGACACGGCCGATATTCAACCCCCACAGAGCATTAAACATACAATATCTTAACTAGAAAAAATATTTAAAAAAATAAGCTCCTGTTTTTGAACCTTGATCCCAGCAGCTCAGCAGCGTTTTTGAGAAAATCCAAGTCTATTACTTAATAACTTAGCTTGCGTTGGAAAGGCTATTTTTGACAGATGTCATCTTATCATCGGTTTCAGCTACATCACCATCTTCATCAAAAATTATAATCTCATCCAATCTAGCTGCATCCTGCAGGAAAAGAAACTAGTTACTAATGAGTTGCATTTTCATACCTTCTTGTCAATCTTCCATAAGTCTTTCATTTGAGCAACTGGTCCTTTTATTATGATGATGTCCAACGAAACATTCACCGAATATGCATTCCCTTCATTCTAACATGGACCGACCAACTTTCGAGTGTTTGTTTTTTAGATCAACTGGTCTTCAAATTTATCCTTTTTTTTAATATAAAATCTTACCTTGCTTGACTAATTCCTTTCTGAAATCATTATTTCAGATGGCATCATCGTACTGGACGAAGAGTATGTGCGACAAAATCGCAAAATTTACGTGCAACTCATTTGCAACTTCCGTTATGGACGTGAAGATGACGAGATGATCGGTTTACGCTTTCAAAAGGAATTGACACTTGTCTCCCAGCAAGTGCATCCGCAGCAGAAGAAGGATATACAGCTGACCAAAATGCAAGAACGCCTCTTAAAGAAACTCGGCTCGAATGCTTTCCCATTCGTGATGGAATTACCACCCAGCTCACCAGCTTCTGTGGTATTACAGCAGAAGGCCAACGACGAGACACAACCTTGTGGCGTACAATATTTCGTTAAAGTTTTCACCGGTGATAGTGATTGTGATCGCTCTCATCGTCGTAGCACCATCAATTTGGGTATACGCAAGGTACAGTATGCACCCAATAAGCAAGGCATACAGCCTTGCACTGTGGTACGTAAGGATTTTCTACTCTCACCCGGTGAGCTGGAGCTGGAGGTCACTTTGGACAAGCAACTCTATCATCATACCGAGAAGATTGCTGTGAATATTTGTGTGCGTAATAATTCGAATAAGGTGGTGAAGAAGATCAAGACTATGGTGCAGCAGGGTGTGGATGTGGTACTTTTCCAGAATGGACAGTTTCGCAATACGATTGCCTTTGTGGAGACTAGTGAAGGTTGTCCATTAAATCCGGGCTCTAGTTTGCAGAAAGTTATGTATTTGGTGCCGACTTTAGTGGCAAATTGTGATCGTGCTGGTATCGCCGTTGAGGGTGATGTGAAGCGCAAGGAGACCTCACTGGCATCTACAACATTGTAAATGAGCTGAAAATTTGGTGAATTAAAATTTCATGAAAATAATATAAAATTTTGTAATTGCAGAATTGCTAGCCAGGATACACGCGATGCTTTTGGCATTATTGTTTCATACGCTGTTAAGGTCAAGCTGTTCTTGGGCGCTTTGGGTGGCGAACTATGTGCTGAGTTGCCGTTTATCCTAATGCATCCAAAGGTGAGATCTAATTAGTTTTTAGTGATTCAAAGAATTGATGTGTCCAATATTCCGACTGTAATAACTAAAAGAGAAAATGCCTATCCTTCAAGCGCGAACAATTGTGGGCCTCTCATGATTCTCATTGTAACCTGGATCAGGGTTTAATTTCAATGAGAACAGCTCAGCTCATTACTCTTTCTTTAACAGCTAATGAGCAGCTTTAAGTCACGACTGAAAGGGACGAAACTTCAGTGGATCCACAATACTCTTTTTAAGAGCTCACAAAATTCCCTTTGTGCAATCTGTTCACCAGAAAGGTGACTGCGAGCAGGCGTCGGTATCGAAACAAGCCTTGTATTCGTTATTTCCGGACACGCCACGTAGAAACGAGTTTCAATCAAAAAAAATGAATAAAGCCGCCAACGAAAATTTACGATTCCGACAAGGGCAACTGCAAAAAATTATGACAAAATTCATATAGATTATCCGCACTTTTAATTGTAAGAGTATCGCTGCCCAGTTGTATGTATCTTGTAGTTCTTCAGCAGAAGAAGGATATACAGGAAATCGATAGAGCCTTGAGAATTTTGTTAGTACCCGTAAAAATGGAGAGTAAGTTTGATGTTGAATATGTGATGGGAGCAGTAACTGAATTTATGCCCCGGCCTCGATCGGGTAGCCACTGTTCGTTATTCTTTTCACACGACCCAACGGAAGCAGAGAACGATATACTTAAGGATTCTTTTCTCGTCATGACACCAAAATCATGCTTGCTAGCTTTAATGACAGGCTGGGCGCAAAAGGGTTATTTTTGGTACGACGTACAAAATATTAATATCTATAAAACTAACGAATTGTTATTGAAGAATACACGTCTCCAGCGGTCCAGATGGGCTAAATCTTCAGGATCTAAACAACGACTCAAGCCACTATCTTGTTGCTGCCAAGAACGCTTGTCAAGAAACACAACAGGAACATGCATTTCTGCTCTCACAAAGCACTCATACACAATTCGGTATAAGATTTCTATGAGATGGCATTTCAAACTCTCTACGCATTTACATCCGCTAGGATAATAATTGGTTTTCTAGAAGGCAGAAGGAAGAGTTGGCACATTGATGTTTGTCCCACTGCTCTGGAGAGAAAAAGGACTTCTGATCGACCGCAACATTCACGGTATCGAGAAAATACCAAAAATTTCAGAGAGATTTCAGACACTTTTGCCGCCAGAAGAAGAAAATTACTAAAATACACCGGAATTTGAGAAGATGGTTAAAAGCGGAAAATTTTACAAAACAATAATGTGACTTACAGATGATTTCAACACCAGGCCGTTTTTGGTGCACGAGAAAACTAATTTGTTAATTGGGGTTCAGACTATATAGAGTTTATGGAGAGCCTGATTACTCCCTGTGAAAATGAAACACCTGCAGATGGCGAGCCCGAAACCTAAATCGATGATGACGATATAGACGCCCGACGACGGTTAAGTTCGTATAGCGAGAGCCCGCTAGGATAATAACAAAACAAATGGGACAAATGGCCCCCGATCGACCGATGGTTTTTTATGAGAAATTTTCATTTCATTTTGGAAATATATTTGGAGGGCTTTGGTATTCCCTGCCGAAGAAGACCGCAATTGGAAAAATGTATTGTCTATAAGTCGAACAACGCAATGCTAAACTCTCTGCTATCGCAGCCGCCATACCTTAGCATGTCCCGCCAAATCTCAGAAAAGTGGACTCTACGATACGTTTAAATTAACGTGATATAAACTTTCTCAGCATGACATACAAGGTCTTGTGTAGCGAAATATTTAAAAAATTAAACCCAAAGCCAACGAACTGATCGGACCTTACTAGAGTAGTTTTCGACCTTTGACCTCTGCCGCGATTTTTAGTTATTTAAGCATGTTATTAACTATTCGCGTTACTTTAATTTTGGCTAAAATTATACTAAATTATCAAAAATGTGCGTTTTTATCCTTACAGCCCAGCCGCAAAGCTCAGGAAGCCGCGGAAGCAGAGGCGGAAGCCTGAGGACCCAACTCAATGACAAATACTACTAATTACCAAATGATGAAAAAGAGTTTTTGATGATGTTGCTATTTAATTATACTCAACAACTTATTTATATAAAATGCATTATTTACCTACACAGTTGCATTTGCACATACTTACAATATACATATATATATATATATGTAATATTTTAAATTAAACGGAGGAGAAGAGGAATCTTTATGCTTGTTAATTTTTATTATCTCTACCGTTGGTTAGCTGCAATTAGTATATTTGTATGTATGTATGCAATATAGTGCCTAAGTATTGCCTTAATAAAAAACAAAAACAGATAAACCTAAACGAATTATTATGTCGCTATTTTCGAAAATATTTATTTGTGGACACTTAAAGGGGATTGTAAAAGAATTAAAAGCTTGTAGACAAGAAATATGTAATAGAGAAAATAAATAAAAAGATGAAAAAATAGTTTTAATTGAATTTTAAATTCTTATTTTTTTTTAACTAATCTTTATTGTAAATTAATTGGAATAATATAATTATGGTCGCTGTGTGTCCATTGTCTAATTCCGAAAATGTATTGATTGAGAAGTAGAGCCAATAGAAATGCCCGGGACGCCGTCAGTTAGTATCTACTTCCGTATGGGACATGAATTGTGGAACAGCCACACGGATATATAAGCTAGTACTGAGAGAGATGCTTCGTAATTCATTAACAGCAGTTTTCCAACAACTGGGATAACCTACAGTTTATTCTGAGCCGAACAACAGATGAATTTTTATAAGGAGCTTCGGTTTTCATGCAGGAAATGTCTATCCCTCCGTGTGTATTTCAGCTCCTATATTAGCTCGGTAAAAATTGCTGGTATGCTGACATTGATCAATGTCCGCACTATATGGAGACGACCTTATGACTCGATTTTCATAACTGCCGTATATGTAACAGCTATTATGGAGCGATGTGTTTGCTCAAGTCGGTTTTTGTCGTCAAGTTGTCTGCTTAGCTAGCGAGGAAACTGGCGAGGTAACTGGAGAGGTAACTGGCGAGCTATCTGACGAGGTAGCTGACAAGGTAGCTACGAGGCCTGCTCACCAGCTTACTCTCGCTGGGACGCCCCTTAAGAAAAGACTCTACAAAGAACTAATAGGTCAAAGTACAGCGTAACAGGCAGCCAGCAGGTAATCCAAGCGAAACATTTTTTGAGTTCATGGGGCATGTTTCAAGCAAATAAATTTCAAAAGAGCCTTTGGATTACGATAAATATGAATAAGCATCTTGTAGCACTTTACAAAGAGGCCGTTGAAAGATTGACAGCGAAAAGGAGAATCCACATTTGCTGGGCAACAGAGCAGAGATGGCCGGCAAATAAATCCAAGAAAGTGATAGAGACAAAACAAAACGTCATTTTTACATCCCCATCGTTCTGTAGACAGGGTATGAGCTCACTTTGCTAGGATGAATTTCGGCATCTTAAGTCTACAGCGGCTAAAAGCCAGAAATTATCTGTTTCAAATCGTTTAAAGAACCTAAGTATTTCTCAGACCAGAAGAATCTAGTCTAACTGAGACTTCCACAGGAGGCAACCAGTGAAGCCTGCCCTTACTTTAAATATTCGGCTATAAACGCGTTAGGAGTGCCTGCGCCAATAAAGATTGAGATTAAAGCCAAACAAAAATGTTCTCCAAACAAGGGTCACCCTGAAAGAAAGTGTAAAAAAAGATAAAATTCATTTAAAAAAATTTTACTGTGCTTTTTTCCAATATTTTCTCGTTAATATATATATAAGGCAAAAATTAATAAAGACAAAATAATGTATTTTTTTAATAACACTACGAAATGTTTTTTCCATAATTTTAATATCTTACTTGAACACAAAATTTGTTATCGTCTTTGGTACACAGTGTGTAAGTATCAGATGGAGAAGAAGAAGACCCATCAAAATTTATACCGATATGATTAATTACATATGTCCCCCTGTCTGTTTGTATGCAAAGTAGTAACTTAGTGGTTAATATATGTGTACACTGTATAGATCATTTATCGCAACCGGCTACTATAAAATATAGCCACCATTAAAAAAAAAAAACTTTGGCTCATGACCAAGCGATTTTTCTGATATGAGAATTAACATTTATTCCTAAAATAAAATATCATAAATTTGATTTGATCATGAAAGGTATAAAGACTTTGGCATAGCCAAAGACAGCTCTTTCTTCTTGTTCCTTATCTTATTATCAAGGCATAAAAAAATTACAAAAATACGCTCTGTTAGAGAGACTGACCACAATTCGCTTTATTATCGTGCCATTAAAAATTTACACCTAGTTTCTCAATTATATGTAGCATTGTATGAGTCACATAATGCACCAAAAACATTTTCTGCGGATAATCGATTTTGTCTTATCAGCAAAACGACCAGAATCACATAGAGACATAAACTATGATAGCATGTATAATATGCGCATGATTGTACCCAACAAACCATAAATATAAGCTTCAAAAAAAATGGTCTATATATTCCCCTTTTCGTGCTCTTTACGATTACTAAGTTCGTCCTTATTAAAATACAACACTAAAAAAACTTACTAATTTACCATTGCATGAAGCAGTGAAAGAGTTGTGTTTCATTTCATTTAAATTTTTGGCCCGAAATCAATATTCGAACGAATCGCTTGCATGGCAGCCGGTGTCTATGATATCCAGTACAAAAGTGAGTGGTGAAATTTTCAAGATTTTAAATTGTATTTCGACGGTTTTTTGACCCAAATCACATATCTGTGCAAATCGGTTGTATGTCGGCCGGTTCCGACATATTTAATAGACTTACCAATGATGATAGAAATATATCCACAACGAACAGACAGACAGACGGGCTCGACTCAGCTCATCATTCTGTTCTTATCCCATTAAATTTCAAAAACAAGCATTATCTTGATGTAAGTCAGTTTTCTCTTTTTAGATACTTCTCTTCGGAGTAGCCCTAATATGGTTAGCTGGGTGTATATTTCTCAATTTAATTATAATGTGTATTTTTGTTCTCTTTAATAGGTAAACGCTTTGAGTATTTAAGCTTGGTGAGTTTGAGACTACGACAACGACGGTTGCTTCTCTGCAAAATATTGATTTGGAGGCAGAGACTGAAGCAAATTCAAAACAGCAGCTAATAGCTGTCGTCATGGACAGTTATCTAGCTAGCTAATGTTAATCAGTGTTAGTTTACAGTGCTGTAAAAGTTTTGCGGCGATACCAAATTCATACATAACGGCGCAGAGGTAGCCCCTTTTCGTGCTTTCGAAGGCTGCGTTAAAATCGATCAAGATTTGTCGCATGGTGAATATCTGGTCATTGGCGGATTTACCAGTTTCGATCAAGATTTGTCGCATGGTGAATATCTGGTCATTGGCGGATTTACCAGTTTTAAAACCATACTTTGGGCATCATTCCTGCAATACTGATATATACATTTTCAGCATCATTTCAGCATCATTTTTTAAAAGTATTACCGGTAGGACATCAGCTTTAGCCGCTTTGTTGTTCCTTTAACCTGGAATCGCTATTCGAACCTCGTTATAGTCGGATAATGAGACGCCTCAAATGAGGTTTTGGGCACGCGGCACACGGCTGCCTATAACTGGACTTCGTCAACAGACTACCACTTTGATTCCCGTATTGACGTCTGCTGTGGGTCACCGCAAGTGTTGGTATTATAGTCGAGCATTACCCTTGTCGGCCAGAAACTCAATATCTTCATTCTCACTCCACCAGGCTTTTTTTTTTGTTTGTCTCCAAATATATTTTGCTTCTCTCTTCAGCCCTCGGTACACGTCTCGGCTCCCACGTGTCGTGTTCCAACGTATGGTTGCGAGCTAATTAAACTGTTACCTCTTCACTAAAGTTAGACATCCCTAATCCAGTCATCTTATTTCGTGGCACTGTTGAAAACAAATTGTTTCAATAGAGGCGATACGTAGGGAGCTTGAGGTGCCGTTCCACTGCTCCCTTTTATCGAGTTGCAGATGAGTACACGCGGAAATCAAGTTTGTCTATCAAGTAGAAATCCGTTCGGTTGTCAGTTGTGATTGTAACCTTCCTTGCGTTTGTTGACGGTCCCTCTTTGATAAACTCGTACGTCTTTTCACTGCGACAAAATGGTGATCCGAGTGGATGTTCAGTTTATATGTAAGTATGCTCCGGTGCGCATAAAAGTCATCCTTTGTCTCTTCGCTCTTTTTTTCCTCCACGTCATGGGCGCATATGAGTTGAAAAATTTCCTTCGCTGCGGATTGTAGCAAGATGTTCATGCGAGGGAGCAGTCTGCTGCTTTGTATGACCATTGTAGTAATTGGCACAAGGACCTGTTCGCCTCCGACCTTGACCCGTTCATCTTACTTCTTTGACGGCGGTGATCTCAAAAGGAAATTTCAAGGGTGTATCACTAGATATCATATTTAGGCTGAGCTGAAAGCAATAACCTTGGAGTATATATAATTTTGTGTAGAGTCAATAGCATTCTGACTTTCAACATACATGTATCATAATATTTAATATCTCTTGTGCAAATTCCGATACCCAGTCAAGCCGTTTGTGGCACAAACTCTATGTAGACAATACTTAAATGTTCCTTAAACTGGAGGAAATACTCTTCGCATCCATCAAAGAGTGTATGGATCAAGCATGCTTTAGCTAGGAGTAATGTGTTATTAAGGGAAGTAAAATATGCGTGCACCACGACATACGAAGCTTGCCATACACTTTTCTTACCGCGATAATGATATGACTGTTCCACATCAATACGTTATTAAATATGATTCCAAGGTTCTCTGCTGTATCTACATATTTCATAATAGCCATAGGAAACAAAATATTTAATAATTCATTTCGACACAATTGTGTTTTAAAGGTTAAAGCGGGAGCCATTTCAAGGTACTCATCTTCCTACTCAAGCTAAATCAGAATCTAGTGCTCTAATTGCTGACGTGGTCATATAGATAACAAACATATAATAGGACATCATCAGCATACATATGGGCATTACAGTTATTCAATAGATCTGGCTATACAACCCAAACAAAGTTCACCCAAAATAAAGTCCTGAAGTTTTCCCCTAACTACGGGTAGTTAACTCCCTTTTTAACAACAGCACTCATAGCTGAAGACCTGTTGCCAAAGTATTTATGATCTAATCAGACTCGTTACTTGATTTCTTAAATTAAACAATTTTCTCCAATTGAAACCAAGTAAGTAGTGGTTGTGGTTGTGGTTATGTATGTGAGGTCATAGAATAGTCTAGAAAGAGTTGTCATTGGACGACCTAAAAAGTTCCATTTCACCTAAAAGTGTCGTCATATAGCTCATTTTAGGGCTACCACCAGGCTGATGGCAGCTAGTGTTATCAAACATGTGTGAACTAATCAGCTTATTTATTATACGTATATGAAGTGTTATGTTGGCAACAACGACTACCTATCACTGGACTTTAATCCCGACTGTTACCAAATTAGCACTTTTTACTTTCTTCGTTGCTGATTTTTGGAATAAATTTCCTAATGACCCACATTACGTTCTCACATCCAACAAGCAGATTAACTAGAAAATTAAATAAAATTTTTTTATTAATTACCGTATCTTTTAAGAACAAGTTTTATAAAGATGATGCCAAAAAAGATACTAGTAGGCTTGTGAAATCAGTCTACCTTTCATGTACCTTTCATGTATGTGGTTCGCAGTAAATAAGTATAAGAAGGAGAAGAGACAGACCTTTTCATATTTATACCCATATGAACAAAATGATGAGCTGAGTTGACTGACCAAATCTGTTTGTTTATATGCAAACTAATCCCTCAGTTATTGAGAACTTTCCAGCTCTGTTTTAAATTTAAACGGAACCACACAGTTTGAAGCAAGATACACAAAACTTAATGCACTGTACATTGTTCCTTTATAGTCTTTATTTATCTTAGCAGAGTATCTCCTAGACTAAACTTCAAAATTATAGAAGAAATTTTTGTTTTTTATATACTGTTGTATATCTGTTGTCATTTGTGTATATCTGTTGTCGAAAATTAAGTTTTATTAGTTCCTAACTGACTGCAATTCGAGTTTTTATGCAATAAAAAAAAAACATTGCTCAGGGGTTTTTTTTAAAAGAATTGCAATGAGTATTAAATTATTTTCATTTATTTATATTTGTTTTATCTTTATCTTTTATTATAGTTCAGATTAAACTTTTTTTCTGCTTCTCCACTATAATACCGTAATGGCAATAAAACAACTTACACATTTCTTAAACCAAAATAAAATAAGCCAACTTTCGAGTTTTAAAAAATTATCACTAAATATGAAATTAACTGACGTCTGAGTATTATCTATAAAAGTAGGGTAGCGAAAGTTCTGCAGGAACCACAAAGAGAAGGATCTGGCATACAGTGTGAATTACCGTCTGATAAGCCATTCTTCGTGTAACATATAAAAAATAAGTGGTACTCTTACATATCTACATATATATAAAGTATTTATATGAAAGGCTTTGTACTGAATGGCGGACAGCCTAAACCACTGATCATAAAGACCTGTAATTGAAGAATGCGTTCTATGTATGTCGCATAAACATCAAAATAAGGGATTTTTCGTGGAGTGGAACTGGAAACTGGAACTATTCGAAAAACTTAAGTTTAATTTTAAATTCTTGATTAACATCAATTTTGATACACAGTCAACCCTTTGCCTAAACTGACATGTTTAAAGGTTTTGCTTCCAAAAAGTGGTCCCGATTTATTTCAATAATTTGTATTTATAATTTGATTTAAATCCCTATTGGAAATTCTTTTTCTTCTTGGGGGACAGATCTATTCGTCCTGCTGAACACTTTTTCTTCCGAGGACTGGCCCTGGGACCAATTCCATCGTTCGGTTTTACCTAATATGTAAAGCTTCTGTCGATGGCTCTTTGCGAGGATCAATATGGGAAGATCTATTTGGAAAAATCGTATTCGTATCTGGGGCATAGATACCTCTTTGTTGAGACTAGTATGTAGAAAACTTTTTTTTTCTGTTTTATATCATATAAAAATGTAGGTTAAAAGGTCATAGTAAAAGAAACAACGTAACAACTTCATGAAAATCTTGTAAGACTCATTCTAGAACTCTATGCAGGCGAAGTCGCGGGCAACCTCTAGTCTGTACTAAAAATACACACGACATCTGCATCGATAATAAACCGATCTGAAGTGGTTGATTTATAGGAATAAAAAATTTAGTAAGAAAAAATATTCAATAATAGAAAAACAAAATATCAAAAATTTACGAAACTCATTTGAATGATCAATCTGTCGCTATGTAGGGGCAACAGTATGTATATGGGGTCGAAAAATTCATACATAATTTGAGTTCCCTTTAAAATATTCGCAAGCTCCGATTTTGCATAAGAAGTAAAAAATTTGGCTTTTCTCACTTCTTGGGTTAAAATTAAACATTTAAAAATTCTCTTCAATATATGAAATATAAACTTTTAAAATGTTTATTTAAGTCAGGATTCGGAACTCTGTTTAAGTTTCTGTTGGATACCTGGTTGCTAATATATATGGCTAAAACCAAGAGGTACGTTTTACATTCAAAATGATATCTTCGGGACAAATCGTAGAAGCTAAAAACTGGATCAAGTTGATATTGCATACTTTTCTTACAGTTCAGGTGGAAGACTGAACATTTTGGAAGCAAGTTTTCATTATTTGTGAAATTTTTTCAAGCACTAGTTCAACCATATCGTAAACCACAGACGGCGAAGGAAACGGTAGTAGGCCCATTAGCAGGTAATGTCAAGGCCTCCGAGAATATTTCTAACATGAAATGAAAGATTTTTCGAAAAAACCTTCTACCGATAGGAGGCGGTATAGTATATACCGCAGGGTACGTCCCGCCATTTGTAGGAAAAATCTTAAAACACACAAATTCAATTCAGTTCAATTCATATCTATTAAGTCAATGATTTTCCAAATCTTACAGAATTGTACATCTAAATTAACCAAAAATTTTAAAATTTATGTTTTTACTAGAAAACTCGGGAAGCTCAAGATCAAGGCTACTACAGATTCGATTAAATTCAGAGAGTGCGCTAATAATAATGAGAGTGCAAACTTCTATGAGGAATATTAAGGCTTATTTGCTCAAGCAGCACTGGGGAGCCCACCAAGCCATTGATGATGTAATAAATAAATTGTAATTACTGGATAGATTGTCGAGGAGCAAAAGATTTCAGATATATTAGCATACTTCGGGAAGTATAAGAAAAACCTTGGCCAGTTTCAAGTCTTGAGGAATGTGTGGAACAAGTGGGATTCCAAATGAAGCTAGCATACTCCAGCTTTGAAGGAACCAAAGAGTTACGTAAAATTTTACGCTTGTTAAGATACTTCAAATCATCACCATACCGGCGCAAAAAATTAAGATAACAATAGTCTTCAGGAATAATGCAGTTTATATTATTATTGAAGGCAAATCCCACATCAAAGAACTAACGCATATCCAAAAAATCATTAACAAAAGATAGCCAATTAGCTAAATTATTAAGACCGTCTTATAGTAAAGCTTCTGAAAAACTACGAATGCTTTTAAGCTGTTTTAAGTCGTCTACATGAAGCAATAAGTTTAAATATTTAAAGCAAGTTCCAATTTCATTTATAAAAAGGAGAAATAACTAAGGACCAGGAATGCTACCTTGAGGTACCTAAAAGGTCTCAAAGGCCTCAAAGGCATAAGAGCCCGTATTCTCTAATTCAAAAAAAGAGAATCTATCGGAAAGATTTGATCCAAGCCAGGAAAGAAAAGAAGAGTGAAAACCTAGACACTCTAGTTTATGTAATAAAATGTTATTCGGGACAGTATCAAAGACTTTGAAAGAATTGGTATAGACGCCAACAACTTGGTATCGCTTCCTAAAAGATGTAATACAATAACGAGAAACACACTTTGTCGAGAAATTTCAAACAAGTCAATAATTTATATTTATATAGCCCTATAATTTTTGACATAATTCTTCTTACCAGACTTAAACAATGGGGAGATACAAGCAATTTTCCAACGATTAATGAAAAGGCCAGACAACAGCGAAAGATCAAAAATTCATTTAAGGCAGCGAAAATAGAGGAACTTCACTTTTAAAGTGAATAAGAAGAGAGGCTGTCCAAATCGCTACCCAAAGATAGTTGCAAAGCGGCAATCCCAGTCAAAACATACAATTCTGTGACTAAAAGACTCCCGAAATTTATTCTCTGCAAAATTTGCAGACCATTACTGACGAAAAGGTTAGCGTTCCGACCATAGATAGATTTGAAAAAGTCAGTAAAGAGATTTACAGCATCCCAATTGAAGCAGCAGCTCGGCCGAAAATCATTCAGCGGTTGGAAGACACCAAAAAAAACTTTTGTGCCTAGATTATTTTTCATTACTATTTGAAAAACCCGTTAGTTGATCAAACTATCGTCAGTAAATGAAGTTGCCATGTCTAATGTTATTGAGGGTGCAATCTAATTTCACTTGCGGCCGCTTCAACTTAAAGACAGTTGTTTTAGAAACCAATTTTCTAATTATTATTGGCTTAGATAAGCTGTTTAGCTTCGGCGATCAGCCCAATAGCCATTTCTTTGCACGTAAACACTCAATTATACGATCACAATAACTAATCTCTCAATCTTTATGCAAGGAAAGTGGCTTTATGATGGTTAATCCGTTTATTGGAATCTCCTTTATTTTGGTTTTGCCCTACTAAAAGCTTTCGATTAGATTAAATTTTATGTCACTTGATGTTGTTAGCGGTATTTATCAGTCGGAAAGCGAGAAATCAAAAATTTGCTTATATTTTAATCACTTTGGACATTTCGAGTTCACTTCAGTAGTGGCCGCCAGAGTGTCAAAATGTGTTGCCGTTGCTGTGGTGTGACTCAACAGAAAGTGTGGGTATTTCTGTTAGCAGCTATATTTCTTGGGCTAGGACTGCTCTTCGTTATTTGGTGGCCAGATTACATAAACGATATAGTTTACGAGGTAAACGGAAACTAACAGTTATTTAGGGTTTCCCTTTATTAAAAGAAATTATTCGGAAACATAATATTGATACAAATGTTGCCCTTTATAGATACTGCCGCTCTCACCGTGTTCCCGCACCTACGACAAATGGTCGGTAAATCCCATACCGGTTTACTTACACATGTACCTATTCAACTGGACGAATGCGGATCAAGTGCGTGTGAAAGGTGTCAAACCCAATTTCCAAGAAGTCGGTCCATTCGTTTACAGTGAAGTGAAGACGAAAGAGGATGTAACTTGGTACACAAATAAAACTGTATCCTTCTACGGAAAACGTGTTTGGCACTTTGAACCGGAAATGTCAGGCGCTCCATTGGACGCTCCAATCACCGGCCCGCACATACCATCTTTGGTATGTTTCCATATTAAATGCTACATTTTGTTATTTTCTTAAATTACCTTTCAACTTTTCAGGCTGCCTCGAATGTAATACGTGACGAACCAAAATTTATTAAAACTGCTTTTAACCTAGCGCTCAATAGCAATGGCGGCGCGCTCTACCAGACACACACGGCTGGCGAATGGCTCTTTGATGGCTTCTACGATCAATTCTTAGATTACGCTCTTAAACTAAATAACTCCATGACTGGCACTATAAATTCGAACAGATTTGCGTGGTTCCTCGATCGCAATGGTACTAAGGAGTTTGAGGGTCTCTTTACCATACATACCGGTCAGGGTGATCTCGAAAAGATGGGTATGATACAGTTTTGGAATGGCTCAAATCACACTGGTTTCTATGAGGGTGAATGTGGTATTGTAAATGGTAGTACCGCCGATTTGTGGAAACCAAATCTTGAGCCCGAGGAACACATTACTGTATATATAACGGACACTTGCCGTATTATCAATTTGGTTCCCAGTGGGGAAACTGAAGTAAGAGGCATCAAGGCAACCAGATATGTAGCGGCCCCAGATACCTATGATAATGGTCAGCGGGATCCTAATATGAAATGCTATTGTCCAAAGGACAAACAGCCCGACAATTGTCCGGCAAGCGGTGCAACCGATTTGGGCCCCTGTGCTGAAGGTCTTCCCATGTATTTATCGCATCCACATTTCATGTATGCAGATGAAAGCTATGCGAGTACCTTGACTGGCATGAATCCCGATTACGAAAAGCATCAGTTCTTTATTATAATGGAACGAAAGTTAGGAATACCACTGCAGGTGAATGCAAACGTGATGGTCAGTCTGCTGATAAAAAATGACAGTGATATAACGTAAGTTTCTTAAATGTCTATATTATATTTTTATAAATTTTTATATTAATTTCTTTTATTTCACGGTAATTTGTTATTTTATCAAATTTTTCTTTATTTTGTTTTACTTTATATAATTTTATTTTGTTTAATTTTATTTTATATTACTTTATATTCATTTATTTAATTTTATTTATTTTTTCTTTAATATAAATCAATTTAATTTCTTGTTTATTTTATTTTATTTTGCTCTTTTTCATTTTATATTTGTTTTTTTTAAGATATTCATTTTTTTTACCAATTTATTTATTTTTTTTTGCTTTATATTATTATTTTATTTTATTTTATTTTATTTTATTTTATTTCATTTTATTTTATTTTATTTTATTTTATTTTATTTTATTTTATTTTATTTTATTTTATTTTATTTTATTTAATTTAATTTAATTTAATTTTATTTTTATTTTATTTTATTTTAACCATTTTTTGTTCTAATTTGGACCTCAGCATACTGCGTGATGTACCTGAGTTTTATGCGCCACTTTTTGTTACCTCCAGCAAAGCGGTGATCGATAAGGAACTCGCAAAATCAGTAAAGGTACAAATATTTCTCATAAAATTTTTCTCACAAAATTTTTTTGACTTTCAAAATGTAAATATTTTTCCATCACAGCTTCTTTTGAATTTGCCTAGTATTGGATTGTATGTCGGCATCTCCTTCATTGTGATTGGAGTCGTTATTGCCTCAATCGGGGTTTTTTTGACTGTAACCCACCGATGGTATGGAGATAAAATTAATTCGAAATAAATTCTAGAAAATAATTAATCATATTTTAGATGATTAAAATTTTTTTGTATCAAACAGTTTTTTTTTTACAAAACTAAAATTTAGTTTTCGTGAATATTACGCTCATACCAAATATAGGTATACACTATTTCGCTGGGATTCAGTAAGTACTCGTTTGTATATGGCATAATTGCGGTTATAAATATATGTGCAAAAATATGTGTATATACGTTGGAGCTATCATTGGCATATTCAGATATGTATGTTATTTAATCGCTCCCCGATTAATACTTCGCTCAAAAAATTCAAAGTCACAGAGTCTTATCTTAATATATTTTAAATTCTTTTAATTGTTGTGAGCGCTAAAGCTTATCTGTGGTAACAAAGACATCTTTAAATACTCAATTGCAATAAAAGTCGATTAATATTATTTTAAACCAATAAATCATTTATAGCACATCGTAAAGAAATTTCATTTTACATGAAGTTGTCCAAGAGCTAAAGACTTAAGAAAACTCAATGTGATGATTTATAAAACATTCTCTCTAAAAGCTGCTACCTTTTTGAACTGTCGACGTCTTTAACTCCATTTTTCCTTTTAAAATTCCTGTAGTAATAGATTGACTGAGACTTGTATAACGAGTAAATGAAACCTTCATCCCATATTTTAACAGACCTTTTATCTTCCTCAGCAGCAGCGGGCACCTGCTTTTCGAATTATAAATTACCGTTATATGATGGGAGATGGTGCGTGTCTATAATTTTTTCAGATCCACTTATTGATTTATGAGGCACATGTAATGAGTTCATATAATCTGCTGGGCCTAAATGTTAGATGAAAAACGCAGCATGGAGAGTCCTTTCTTTTGAAACCTCATTTGAAAGCGTGCATCTCTAAGCTTTCTTTATCCTGCTGACTGAGTTTTTAATGCTACCCGGCGTTAGTTTACAACAAACTGAATAGCAAATTCAGAATTTACAGAGTAGAGGCAGCTCCTTTTTCATAGAAGCAGCTATAAAATCACGAAGATATGGTGGGTCACGATTGCTTTCTCAATGGTGTTTTCTAAAATTCAAGAAGACCTTATGAACGATATTTAGGAGTCATTTTCCGCTATAATTGGTGCAGATATGGGGTTTCAATTATTTGTGGATTTGGAAAGAATACACTTAGATTACATTCATCAGCTGTGTCTAAATAAAGTGTTGCTTACATTTTTTCGAAACTGCTATTCAGGTTTTATCATAATCAGTTGAAAGGACGGCTATTTCAACGTCGTAAACGGAGGAAACTCACCCTGGACAGCAACCACCAGATCAACTCTCTGAGTTCTACACGCTTGCGTTCTGGTCTCAAATCTTCCGTACGTTTTATAGACTATTTTGTAATTAAACATTTCCCTTTGCCATAGTGTATCGATTCGCTCTCCAACCCTCAGCTCCTTGACTGTATGACAAATATTGTGATCGGCGATAACGTTGCGGGTTGGGTAGTATATTTTTTTTATTCCAAGAGTGTGACAATCCCCATCGTACTAGCGCTTTTCTGGCTTAACAATAAGTTGTTAATAACCGCTCCCTGAGAGTAGATATGCAAGTTAAGCAGAAAACCATTTGTCTGTCTGTTGAGTTTAAAGCATTCATCGTCGAAGTTCCTTATTTTTGTTGACGAGCCTTCTTAGCTGCTGAAGATGCTGAAGATGGGTGCTTGTCCCGGCTGTGATACGTAGTGGTATATGATTAATGATTTTGTTTCCTTTGCCGAAATCTGTTACTATAAAAAGTCATATCAGGCACATAACGAAGTAAAGTTTTACGGAAGCTGAAATTGTTAGAAAGGATTTTGACATCGTGGTAGGATAGCATACTTAGACGTATTAAAGGCTTCGTCCATGTGTGAGCACTAATCTTAAAAAATATCGCTTAATGCGAATCGTAGCAATACGTTGAGCCAAAAGAGTGAGCTGTTATGATAACTCAGTGATTTGGTTTGAGCCAAGGTCCGGCTTACCACTCAAAATGATAAAAATACAATTTTAATATAAAATTTAGTTAATGTTTCTGATTGAGGTCGCCCCTCACAGGAAACAACACCCCTCTGAGTGTATTTCTGACATGAAGTAAAGCATCACGGAGGCGGCTTAGAATAAACCGAAGGTCCCTCCATTTGTAGGAAAAATATCAAGACGCAAAACCAAAATTTCGGAGGAGTTCACTCGGCCGAAAATCCCTTCAGCGGTTACAAAGCGCCTCTTTGTATACCAAGAGCCATCTCCAACATCAATTGAACACGAAAAATGTTGTTTTCTTTCAGTTCGCTTTCGCTAAAACATTAATAACAGCATTTAAGGGAGAAGTTCCATAAAGATGATTGGCGTGTAAGCGTAAGCGTGCATTCTAAGCAAGTTTGTTTTAAAAATATGTGTGTTTCGCTTCTACCACTTTTTTGCTCGAGCAGTAATTTAAATAATAAATAACATATACTTTCAGTTACAGCTACATATCATTACACACACGCATATATTGTATTTATTAGGAGTGTAATAACATACAAACCGCGTCAAGTTTGCCATTGTTTTTAGCGATTAAATTTACAAACAAGAAACATAGGCCACGCTAACCATAAAATCAGCGCCAGGATACTTGGACCATATGAGCTTCCATGTAGGTGTTGACTTTGGCTACTTTGCGTGGCACGCAAGCGGCCTCGGTCAGTGCATGCTGTTACCAACAAACAGCTACCACTAACATTCCAAATGTTGTTTCTTTTGTGAGTTTTGCACTGGTAAGTGGCGCCTTTCCACTTGCTTTTTTCAACAACATTTAATGCGATGAAATCGCGCTAACAGAAAGTTAAAGTGGCTGTCAAAATGTAAAAAAGCTATGACACACACACACACACACACCTGAACTCAGCTTACTTGCATTTGCTGAATGAAAAATGAAAATTTTGTAAACAAACTTAGCATAATCAAGCGTTGCATACTTGACGGTAACTAGTTAAGTATAGCCTCTCAAAATGGTAAAATTTATTAATACGTTAATAATTGTATGTAACATGCACCTACTAACATACATACGTACATCAGCCAAAAATATTTTTACATAAAACTTTTGCTTTTGTTTTAGTTTTTTCTGTTGTAAAAATGCCGCCATCGAATTTATGAGGTTTTAACATGCAAACAAAATTTCTCACATTTTTAGGTTAGGTTAGGCAGAAGCGATTGGTGCGGTTGGTTGGTGGAATGTGCAGAAAACACCAGGCGTAATTTAAATATAAACGAAAGAGGCGGTTACTATGTGGACGGTAAAAATTAATGAGGCTGCTTAAGCTCTTGGACTGTCAACTTTAAATTAAAAAAAAAAATAGTAAAGTGCAGTCCTGAAGATTTCTTCTTAATGATAACTATGTAGCATTTTCTATTCAGAAAAAGTTCGTTTATTGAAAGAATTTGGAACGTTTCGAGATGAAGCAGCTTTCAAATTTCATTCTGTAAGTCCTACATTTAAAAAGGTGTTTTATTTAGATATCTCACTTACAAGTAGAAAGAGGCCGATTATAATTATTTTACGGTCAAGAATTTAGCTTTATTTTAGAGATAACGGTTTGCCATTTTGCTTCAAAAATGATTTCGATCAAGTAACTGCCGCGGCTGGGTCGAGTAAATTTCAGCCGAGAGGCTCAACTTTCGAACATTTTTGCTGGAGCTGGTCCATATGTCAGTAATAACGCGCAATACATTCTCTTCCATGCCGTCTAAGGTTTCGGGTCTACCTGCACACACAAGCGACTGCACATAACGCCTAACCATGTTAAAACAGGCAAACTGGGAAACCGCGCCACAGGCCCACGATGCGAGATAATCCGTTCACCAAAAGATTTTTTCAATAAATCTGTATTCGTTTACTGTATGACATGCAGCGCACACTTTTCAGAAGCAAAGTTCGTGCACATGAATATGCTCCAACACAGCCACGATAAACTCACTGATCACAGCTGTTTTGGTTTCTGCACTTACAGTAAAACTATTGATTCGTTCCGGATTTATTTTGGAAGAAATAATGCTCTCTGCCCATAGAACACACGAACCCGTGAATGTTTGAGGGTATACTCAATCTAAAGTGAACTTCATCGCTTGAAATCTTGGGAAAATCAACTCCAGTGCTCATCTTAATTTAGGCCGATTCACTGGACCTGCGCTGCGCTTGGTAGTTGTTCTGTCTCAACTCTTCCACGAGTTGGGTTTTGTTAGCTCGCAAGCCAAGATCCTTTTGCAAATCCTTTCATAATTGGATGGGCACAGCTCCAATTGCTACGTGGCGGATGGACCCATTCGGGTCTTCTTTGATACTCTGCTCCCCTAACACAATGGCGTCTTCGATGCGTACGGCACTGGGTATCTAAGGATATACATTAACCATTAGAATAAACTTAGTACAAAACAGATCCATTGTTGCTCCAATAACCGACTCTACTAGGCGATAACGTTGAGCGAATATTGTACTCAGAGCAATATGCAAAAAGACACAAAGGAAAAATTATTATCTACATATTTACACGATTTTTGGTTGAGCTTTCTATTCCAAATTTTGGTGCGAGTCCTAATATGTTTTTCCAAGTAGTGCAAGGACTTACAGTTCATTCTAAGCCGTCTCTGAACGGCAGATGCATTTTTATGAGAAACTTGGCTTTTCATGTCGGATATATTGTACACTCGGAGAACTCGAACGGAAAGTACAACCTTTAGTAAAACAAAAATTTAAGGAATTCGTTAATTTGATAATTTAATTTTTGCTCTTCGAATTTCAATTTTTTGTTTATACGTTTGGCAGAAACTCGCTTCCCCCAAGATATGTTTTGAAACTATCTCTCCCATACCATCTAAGCATCCATAGGACTAGACCAGCATGGTGTTGGACGGATCCTTCTCTTCCTAATAGAAGTGTCACGTGTTTCTGCGCTAAAATTAAAAACAAAATAATTTGTTCGCTGTCAGTTTGCAGTTTTCTGCAAGACAATAACGTCCCAAGTCTCTTCGGGTGCCGCAGCGACGGAACCGAAAGGGCATA